CCGCCTGGTTCAGCCGCTTGTTTTTTTTTCTGCTCCTAACCCCCCTCTCCCGCTCACCTCTCTCGTGTTCCAGCTTTCTCTTTCCCCATTGTCCACTCCCTCCTCCCCTCCCTTGTTGTAGGGGCTGCGCCAACTACACGTGGCAAGGAAGACAGATATACTTTCAAGGGGGTATGATTAAAGACGAAGGGGGCGGGTATCGAGAGCTTCGGATGTACATGTTGACTGCCACACGCACATATGAAAACGAACAAGCTTTAAATCTAACCAGCCCTTTGGGCGACAGGTGGTCTAAGGAGGGCCTCTTTCCTCTTCCATGACCCCTCTTCCCTTCGGGAAGGGCCATTAGGAGGGCCGATTTTTTGCCACCCATCACGAGGATCGTGGCCCCCGAAGGGGGGACCTAAATCGAGTACCCCTCCTCTTTTGACCGACCGCCTCCAAGATGGGCCCCAGAGGCCCTCCAGGGCTCCCCAAAGGCCCCCAAGAGGGTTTCACTAGCGCCCCAAGAAGCCCCAAGAGAGCTCCAAGAGGCCCCCGAATGGCCCCCAAGCGGCCTCAGAGAGCCCAAGATGACCTCCAAGATGGCTCAAGATAGTCCAAGCTGGCTCAAGATGGCCCTAAGATGCCCCAAGAGGCCCCAAGACCGCTCCAAGACGGCTCGAGATGCCTCCCCAAGATGCCGCCGAGATGCCCAAATCCTTTAAACACGTCCCGAAACTGAACGAATCCCACCGGCCCTTTGGGCGACAAGTGGTCTAAGGAGGGTCTTTTTCCTCTTCCACAACCCCTCTTCCCATCGGGAAGGGGAACCCTCCCCCTCCCCTCCCTGAGGTATTTTGGGAGGGGCCGCGAGCTGTCGGAGGCTCCTTTTTCGGCCCCTGGGAAGGCAAATTCTTGCCACCCTTCACGAGGATCGTGGCCCCCGAGGGGGGGACCTAAATCGAGTACCCCCCTCTTTTGACCGACCGCCTCCAAGATGGCCCCAAGAGGCCTTCCGGGGCTTCCAATTGGAAGCCCTGGAACCTACTTATACGAGCACAGTTTAACCAATGTACTATCCGCGCTAACCGAGAGCAAAGCAGGGCGACGATCGCAGAAGGGGCTCCCAAGAGGGCCCAAAGAGCGCCACCAGAAGCCCCAAGAGGCCTCCAAGAGGCACCCGAGAGGCCGCCGAGCGGCCTCAGAAAGCCCAAAATGACCTCCAAGATGGCTCAGATAGCCCAAGACGACCCCAAGCGGCCCCAAGACCGCTCCAAGACGGCTCGAGATGGCCACGGAGCCTCCCAAGCCTCCCTCGCTGTTTGACTATGCGTGTCTCTTCCTCTCTCCCCCCGTCAACTCTCATGGGCATCGTTTCTGGATGGGCTGGTGGGAATACGAAGCAAAATCCCCACGTGCATGAACGCGTTCTTACGATTCATCATCACGCCCGTTACTGGGGACGGCCCCCCCTCATCCTTGGTAGCGTCACGATTCGCGTCGGCGCCATCTTGGAATGGCCAGGAGGCGTCTACGAGGGGGTTCGCGGTTCGCAAATCACGGCCCGAGGCATGTGCGCGGACGAGGGGGTGACCGAGGAACGTGTTGAAACAAGAAAAGGGGCAATGTTTTTTTCCCAACCATCCTGTGGTGTTGGGTCCTCGTTTTGAAGAGACGTCGCCCCGCGTTCCTCTCCTCCTCTTCCTCCTCCTCCTCCTCCTCCCCCTTCCCCCCTCCTCCTGTCATCATCATCATCGCCATCATCACCATCATCATCTACAACAGCGTCAACATCATCATCATCATCATCATCATCATCGTCATCATCATCGTCATCATCATCACCATCATCATCATCATCACGACCGTCATCATCACCAACATTATCACCCATGTCGGCACACCCCTCACACGCTTCGTGGCCCCATAGGGAACTCCACCGAAGGCCCCAATGCCACCGCCCGCATGCGCCCCCTACACACATGTCGGCACACCCCTTACAAATTTTGTGGCCACATAGGGAACCCCAACGAAGGCCCCAGTGCCACCGCCCGCATGCGTCCCCCACACCCATTCCGGAACACCCCTCACACGCTTCGTGGCCCCATAGGGAGGAGCTCCACCGAATGCCCCAGTGCCACCGCCCGCATGCGTCCCCCACACCAATGTCGGCACACCCCTCACACGTTTCGTGGCCTCATATGGAGCTCCACCGAAGGCCCCAGTGCCACCGCCCGCGTGCGCTTTCCCACACAGAATTCGGAACACCCTTCACACGCTTCGTGGCCCCATAAGGGGCTCCACCGAAGGCCCCAGTGCCACCGCCCGCATGCGTCCCCTACGCCCATGTCGGCACACCCCTCACACGCGGGAGCTTCACCGAAGGCCCCAGTGCCACGGCCCGCATGCGTCCCCCACACCCATTTCAGCACACCCCGCACACGTTTCGTGGCTCCATAGGAGCTCCACCGAAGGCCCAATGCCACCGCCCGCGTGCGTCCCCCACACCCATTTCGGA